ACGGGAACCGCGTCAGTCGTCCCTGAAATATCTATGCATTTGCATCATACAACGAATCCCCCCTCCCATAAATCGTTTAAAATAGCAAAAAATGTCCTAAATAAGTTCATTTTATTCGTCTGCCTCAGAAGCATTATCAGCATCTGTCAAGGGAGTGCACAAGCAGACCAAACCGTTCCAATCTCTTCGCTGACTTTATTGTGAAAAAATCAAGTGTAGACAGTCGTCAGACGAATACTCCCGTGTAGTGCTTTTAGAAAGGTAGGGTTTTTTCAACTGATCAAAGGCACGTTTGTCGCGGGCGCTCATTTACTTCGGTGACTAGGTTTGGCGGTTGAACGAGTCTACACACACGACCGAAATCTGCATAAAAAGACGCCCCAGAACGCACTGGGTAGGTAAATGTTCCCAAAAAATGGCAGTCTCATTTGGTGGAGAGTAAAAAATACCGAGTCTGCACGTTGGAGCGGTTTGTTGAGAGCACTTAAAAGGTTATAGCAGTCTCTAGCTTTTTAAGGACACTCCGAGACTCAATAAACTCCAAAGTCACCCGAAACCACATTAATTTTACTGGAAAAAAATGCAGTCTTAATGTAGTCGCAGGCTTATAATTTTACATTTGCTTGCTCTAGTCCAAATTCTTAGTCTCTGACCAATATCTTCACGTGCGCCTTTTAAAAAAGTTTTCAACCTATAATTCCATAATATAATAAATTAGTATTACACTAATTCTTCGAACATACTTAAAGACAGAGTGTACAAAAGACTATTTATAAGTGTCAGTGGACTCATGCTAGTTCAGTTACTGAGTTGTTTGTAATAAATGGTTTTAAAAACACACCAAAAAATTAAGGCTACCTATTCGACACGAATTTGTACACCTTTGGCAGTTTTACGCTTTTGGTGAAATTTTTGTTCCTAATATTGTTCCAAATGTTTAATTGCATTTGATTGAAAGTTGTTCATAATTAATTGGACGTTTTGTTGGCGTATTTGGATCCATTTCCCATTGAGTAGACGCTATTCAGTACGTTAGATCACCTACTGTACTTACCCGCTCGTAGTAGAAGAAGTAGCGTTTCAGATATTCCCGAGCCCTGTTTCGAGCTGATTCCTTAGCCAGGTCTGCATTCTCCATGTACTTGCTGCAGACATAGAACTGAGCAGAGTGGGTTTGCCATGCTAAAACCAGAAAAAAATACTGCCTAGAAAAATCGGACAAGTTCACGAGCACTCAGAACCGAAAAATGATAAGATTTAGACAGATAATATTACCGCCAAAGACAAAGGAGGCTTAAATGACCACTTCTGGCTTATATCAGCCCTCGTCAACCAGTCATACCCAATCTCAAGTGGTCCAGCACCCCAGCGGGACAAACGACGTCCATTAGCGGTCGGTGAAAGTTCATCAACGAGTGTCAATACATCCCGATATAAACCAGCAAGACAACGAGCTCGTGGTCCAATGGTTAGAGCGCTAGACTCCGATCACAAAGATCGCACGTTCGAGCCTTGGGTGGTGCACCATTTCA